TCAATAACAAGCCGATATCCCCTTCTGAGTAGCACAAGAAAGGAAAATGCATTACAAAGACCCTGGTAACCTAGGAGTGAAAGAGCACTGCATTTCTCTGCACACGTAGCATGTCAGTGTGTTTCCTAAATCTGCTGAATACAGCTTCCAATGAAACCTTGTGCATTTTCATTTGGTTCCTAAAAGATGGATCATGACCAACGTGGATTGAGACAATCCATTTGAGAAGCGGTTTTTTTTTAAACTTGATCTGTATTTTAAACATTTTGCATTAAATCTAAGTTTTAAATATGATTCAGAGATAGTAGGAACTGCCGATGCTGGAGAATGAGATAACAAGGTGTAGAGCTGGATGAACACAGCAGGCCAAGCAGCATCAGAGGAGCAGGAAAGCTGACGTATCGGGTCTGGACCCATCTTTTCTGAAGAAGGGTCCAGACCCAAAACGTCAGCTTTCCTGCTCCTTTGATGCTGCTTGGCCTGCTGTGTTCATCCAGCTCTACACCTTGTTATCTTAAGTTTTAAATCTGTTTTGTTTGCTTGCCCATCTTGTCTGTGAGTTTACATTATGTACTGAGGATAGCATTTGAAATGAAATCTATTTTGCTTTACTCTGAAAGAAAAGGGAGTCTTTTAAAGTCAGTTAAATGAATGCTGCAAAAGTCATGGCTTCATCTGTAACAATCAACCATTCTTATTTATCCTCCAAAGCAACTCAAACCTGCTCTTCCCTCCTCTTGTGAAGAAGAGCTTCAATGACAATATCCTTATGTCTGTCATTTAATTGGACCTCCTGAGAATTGTAGACGTATTCACTTGTCAAATTTACAATGCTGTCTAGATTAACTTTGCTCTTTTCTTGCTATTTCAATCACAAACAACCAAAAGCTATGTTTATAAGCTTTCCTTATAATTTAGATCCCTCAAACTACATTCAGTCCCATGGCCTTTCTCTTCCTTGCTTCTGTTATGACAAAGTCAGACAGCAGAATCAAATCGGCTTCCCTATCTCTGAAATCGCATTACAGTAAGATTAAAATCTTCAACAGCTCTAAAAAGTGACACCTGTGGTTCCTAACCAAACTTTTTGATAACCAGCCCTTCATTTTGAGAATAATTGATACTAGACACCAGGTTTACAGCTTAAACAAAAGACTTCACAATTTATTAACAGTGCAGTGACTTTAACAAAGCAGAATTAAATAATAGTAATCAAATTTAATGTCTAGATTTAAATCTAATGATCTTTGAATTCAGCTCCCACATCTTCGTGTCAAAACACAGGCAAACATACACGTTTGAGGGATAAATTTTATAAAGCGAAAAATAACAACTGACCAGAGTACTTGAACAGTTTCTGTGATGCTTTGCTTCAAAGGTACATGGGATTGTCTATTGAGTGACATTTTCAGAAAAATCAATCAGTGCTATATTTTCCACTTCACTCTAATGAAACTTCAAAATTACTTAGTGTTCTTTTGAAAAGGCTATAGAATTCTTTGATCAAGAATCAACCTACAGTTAACTTTGAGGCCTGACTTCAAAAACAGTTAACAGCTTATTTGTTCTCCATTTTTAACATAAGCTACTCACAGACGAAAGGTTACCTATCAGCTTTCAGTTCACAGCTCCAAACCAACAATTGATACATAAAAAATGAAATATCAGTGAGCATTCTAGCAATTCCTACATGCTGGTGTCCCATCCTTTTTTTTGAGTAACCATGTTGGAGATGGAGTCTGATGAGAGCACTTCCTGGATGGGTCATGACTTCTTTGAATTTAAAATCTTCTATTTTCTGTCACAATTTAGCTCAGTGCATTGCATTTTGTGTGAAAATATGAAAGTGATCTTATGCGTTGCTTGCGGTACTTAAAGCAAATGTATAATTTTTATCGTTGAAGTGTCTGCTTCAGTTTTAAGTTCTTATTTTATATATAAATTGAATTTTCTTGGCAGGACTAGCTTGAATATATTGCCACAGTAACTGTGTGTTAAATGCCACAAATATTTTACATGTTAATATAATGCATATAAAAATGCCAAGCAAAATTTGAATTGGCATTTAAGGGTTCTGTTGATAATTTCTGCATTGTATTGCTACTTGTGACTAAATAAATTGTAGGGTTTTTTTCTTGAACAAGGTAGTGGTTCA